TGTGTTTCGATGTTCTCCATCAGAAAGATCAGTTATACCTCTGTGGAGCTGGAAAATCAAGTCATTTACCTTTTCTATCACTGTGTCTTCCTCTCCTCAATTGATGGACCCCCCTCTGGATAGATGAATGAGGGCAGTTTGTTCCTACTGCCCAGTACATTTTGCATAGAGGCGTGCACCCACACATACAGTATGTGTCCTTAGAAGGGACCGGAGACATGGACAATAGAGTAATCGACAGGAGAGATATAGAAGGGAAAACTGATGTTGACTTACAGAGACCAGAGGATAGAAATAGAGTGAATCTGTGTGTGTGTGCATGTGTACATTATGGAGGCTGTTGCATATATTCAGAGACAGTGTTGTTTAATGTTTTGATACATTCACAGAATATTGCCAGCACTGGTAATAATGAATGAATGTGTTTCTAATAAAAAAGTCTGACCCTTCCCTGTCTTGCACATTGCCTCACTCGCTCCTTCCATGTATCTCCCTCCAGTGCTCTGTGTTCCTCTTATTTGTTTTATCTTCTTCATCTCCTTCCTTCTCTCTAAATCTCTGGTCTTCGGGGTTTACTCTAACAATAGGTATTAAACTAGTTACTAGTACTCCATTGAGGAGAAGGCATAGGGCTGGTTTTATATTTAAAAGGCTTTAGCCTCGGGAGAGACCGAAGGGCCCTGAGTGCTTTTAACTAAATGGTGTAGCAGCAGGTGGCACATGTCAATGTGAGGGAACGTACAGCATGTTCACAACAAAGGCTTTAATGTTCACAGAGACCATCCTGATCACCAAACGTGTCAAAGAACACCAGTTTTACACACAGTTCACTCACTGTACTCTTCTCCCTTAGCTCAGCGCTTGCAAGCCAGCTCATGATATAAAACATTACATAAAAAATACTTTTTAATTTAAACTTGCGAATGATGTAAGCACTCCTTTGGAATTCTGCTCTTGGAACCAGGCTGACCTCCAAAAAGTTATCCAAATATTTTATTGTCAGCATCAAAATCTTTTTCTAGTTTTTATGCTTATTCTCAAGGAACGAGGAATGGCTTGATGATTGCTTCCCCCTTTAGACTGCTTGCTTGCATTTTGTTGCTTTACTTGATTATTTACTTGTTAGCCACAACATTATTTACTCACCTTTATCCAGGGTTATATAACTCGTACATTAGCTACACCTTAACAGTGGTTTGTCTGTTTTTTATATGAATCTGATGTAGATTTGTAGATCTGCCATGACCAAATCTGCATGAAGCTCTATTAAAAGTTGAAATGTACCAGTGTCACGGGTACAAACTGTGTTTAGGAAACACTTTCTAGTGAATGTGTATGTAAAATGTTCTGGAGTAGATAAAGCAGAACACAATTGCATTACAAATGTTTTTTAATGCAGTCATTGGGAGTGCATCTCTTGAGATCAATCAGTAAGTTAAAAAACTTATATTTTCAAGTCAAGATTATGATTATTCAGGTTTTATGCCTCTGACAGCTGTGGCCGTGTTTTTGTGTATGTCTGTCCCATTGTAACGAGCGCAATATCTCAGGAACATCTTGAAGGAATTTTTTCAAATTTGGCACAAGCATCCACTTGGATGAAGTATTTCAGTTCTGGTGGTCAAAATTCAAGGTCACTCTGACTTTACATTTGTACCATTCTCATGAATGTGATATCTCAGTATTGCCTTCAGGGTATTTTTTTAAATTGGCACAAACATCCATTTGGATCCAAGGACAATGTGATGAAGCTCTCCAGCAGTCCTCAGTACTCCTCTATAAAAATACAGCAGTCGCTAAGTGATGACATCGTGCATCTCACTGAAAATTATTCACTAGAATCAAATTATCAGTATAGAGATAACATATTTTGCCAAAAAAAAAAAACAATATATTTTAATAGCCGTCCCTGGTAGGCTAGTGGTTAAGGCGCAGCGTTCTTGCCACTGTGGCCCAGGTTCGAATCAGGGTTGCGTCAGGAAGGGCATCCGATGTAAAACAGTGCCAAATGTCAATATGCGAGTCATCAGTGTGACGATTCGCTGTGGCGACCCCTAAACGAGAAAAGCCGAAAGTGACTTTCTTTCTTTCTAAACAATATATTTTAGTACATTCCTTCAGGTTTTCACTACATACAGTGGGTATGGAAAGTATTCAGACCCCCTTAAATTTTTCACTCTTTGTTATATTGCAGCCATATGCTAAAATCATTTAAGTTCATTTTTTTCCTCATTAATGTACACACAGCACCCCATATTGACAGAAAAACACAGAATTTTTGACATTTTTGCAGATTTATTAAAAAAGAAAAACTGAAATATCACATGGTCATAAGTATTCAGACCCTTTGCTCAGTATTTAGTAGAAGCACCCTTTTGAGCTAATACAGCCATGAGTCTTTTTGGGAATGATGCAACAAGTTTTTCACACCTGCATTTGGGGATCCTCTGCCATTCCTCCTTGCAGATCCTCTCCAGTTCTGTCAGGTTGGATGGTAAACGTTGGTGGACAGCCATTTTCAGGTCTCTCCAGAGATGCTCAATTGGGTTTAAGTCAGGGCTCTGGCTGGGCCATTCAAGAACAGTCACGGAGTTGTTGTGAAGCCACTCCTTCGTTATTTTAGCTGTGTGCTTAGGGTCATTGTCTTGTTGGAAGGTGAACCTTTGGCCCAGTCTGAGGTCCTGAGCACTCTGGAGAAGGTTTTCGTCCAGGATATCCCTGTACTTGGCCGCATTCATCCTTCCCTCGATTGCAACCAGTCGTCCTGTCCCTGCAGCTGAAAAACACCCCCATAGCATGATGCTGCCACCACCATGCTTCACTGTTGGGACTGTATTGGACAGGTGCTGAGCAGTGCCTGGTTTTCTCCACACATACCGCTTAGAATTAAGGCCAACAAGTTCTATCTTGGTCTCATCAGACCAGAGAATCTTATTTCTCACCATCTTGGAGTCCTTCAGGTGTTTTTTAGTAAATTCCATGCGGGCTTTCATGTGTCTTGCACTGAGGAGAGGCTTTCGTCGGGCCACTCTGCCATAAAGCCCCGACTGGGGGAGGGCTGCAGTGATGGGTGGCTTTCTACAACTTTCTCCCATCTCCCGACTGCATCTCTGGAGCTCAGTCACAGTCATCTTTGGGTTCTTCTGTACCTCTCTCACCAAGGCTCTTCTCCCCCGATAGCTCAGTTTGGCCGGACGGCCAGCTCTAGGAAGGGCTGTGGTCGTCCCAAACGTCTTCCATTTAAGGATTATGGAGGCCACTGTGCTCTTAGGAACCTTAAGTGCAGCAGAAATTTTTTTTTGTAACCTTGGCCAGATCTGTGCCTTGCCACAATTGTGTCTCTGAGCTCTTCAGGCAGTTCCTTTGACCTCATGATTCTCATTTGCTCTGACGTGCACTGTGAGCTGTAGGGTCTTATATAGACAGGTGTGTGGCTTTCCTAATCACGTTCAATCAGTATAATCAAACACAGCTGGACTCAAATGAAGGTGTAGAACCATCTCAGGGATGATCAGCAGAAATGGACAGCACCTAAGTTAAATATATGAGTGTCACAGCGAAGGGTCTGAATACTTATGACCATGTGATATTTCAGTTTTTCTTTTTTAATAAATCTGCAAAAATGTCAAAAATTCTGTGTTTTTCTGTCAATATGGGGTGCTGTGTGTACATTAATGAGGAAAAAAATGAACTTAAATGATTTTAGCATATGGCTGCAATATAACAAAGAGTGAAAAATTTAAGGGGGTCTGAATACTTTCCGTACCCACTGTATATGATATGAGTCTGGACAGACATGAATGTAAGCTGGAACTTGACTGTTTGGCAGAGGTATACGCCTGCCAGGCAGTAATTCTGTTTTTTAGTGGCTCTTATCCTAAGTGTTGATCATGAGTAGCTTTTGCTTTTTTTTAACAATGGACATCTTATTTTAACACAAGAGGCATTGAGATTCATATGCAGTATCTGACTCTGTTACCCAGAGGGCATTACAATAAGTGTTTGAAGTGACAGTGAGGGAAGTGCATCGCATTTCCGCAGGCAGGCAGGGAATGACAGAAGCAATAAAAAGCAATGTATCACTTCATATCACTCTCTCAAGCAGCCATCCCCACATTCATCCCCCTCTCCCTCTCCTTCCATCCATACCTCCCTCAATGCATCCATCACTCCCAGCCCCGTTCACAGGTTTTTGTCCTTTTTCCTCTTTAACGTTTCCATCCATAACTGACAATTCATATTACTCCTGTCCTTCCTCTGCAGCACTTTCTGTTCCCATCTGCCCAGTGCTCATCCTTCCATCTTTACAAATCATTACATTTGCCTTTAAATGAGGACAAAGTGACGCATTTGCAGTGTCCTTGTGGCTTTATAAACAAACAAAGATTGGGCTCAGGGAACTTTCTACCTGTTAGTACAGCTGCAAAAACGTTCTTGGATCAAGGAGTTAATTTTCAGATGTATGCATAGACATAAATCCTGCTAAAGCTCTCACAGCTTGATTAAAGTTTAGACTACTGAATAAAAAGCAGTACAAGGATTTTTTTTCAGACCTTGGACGAACCTTGAAACTCCAGGCTTCTCCACAACTTCTACAAGCTAAAGACATGATCTGTGCAAAATTTGTGAATGGTTTAATTGACTCAAGGGTCTGTGTGTAACTGTGTCTTAATTAGTGGTGTGGGACAAGGCTGACTTGTGCATCTCTATGTGTCAACATCATTTTTGAATTGGTTTGTATAATGGGGCAAAAAGATTATATTTTTTTTATAAAAAATTACTTCATAATCTTATAGAAATTAGAGATTTTGAAGTATTTGACCCAGTGTCTGACATTTAAAACAAGCAATACAGTAAAAACCAGCATGAGAAGGATGTAAGCAAGCCTGTACAACCCATTTCTCTGTCTTGTTAATTTCTCTTTCTCTTTCTTTCTTTTTCTCTCTGTATCTACATCTGCCATCTGTTATTCTCTGCCTCTGCTCCTGTCTGTCGCCCAGTGAGCATGCCAGCCAGTGAGAATGAGTCAGTCAACACAGACAACGCCCCCGGGGGAGACGTGGAGGGGGAGACCTGCTGTACCCGGCTAGCGTGAGTACCTCACCCTGTCTCTCACACACACACACCTCTTCTACCTCTATTCCTGAGCTCTCTCAGTGGCCTTCTGTGAATCCCAAGGATAAACTCTATCCTTACTATTAGCAGTTCAGTGTTAGCCACTGTAGAAGGGGCTCAGCCTGCCTCTATCTTCCATGGGTCTCACAAGGCCAGACCTCTGTCTCTTACAGCTCGTGGATGTCAGGAGGCAACAAGCTTAAAAGCTGGTTAGAAAAGGGCAGATAACAGTAACAATGTGTTGTCATCATAATAAAAGCTGATATAATTTTAATAGGGAGATCTTGGGTGGATACGAAGAGACAACTAGGTGCTGACCCAAGCAGTGCTCTTTTTCACTTTCCCTGCAAATGAAATTACTTCAGTGACCTTGATGCTAATACTATTTTTGTCATCAGTGCCTCAGTACTGCAGCAGCCACCATGTTTTTGTTTGGTTTTGTCATATGCTACAACTTAGCAAACATATTGAAGTCTGATGTTGGGTCCTATACTAGTTGCTGAATTTTCTCTCAGCTAAAAATTTTAATGTTTTGAATCTTGCTTTTTTAATATTAAAATATAAAAATTTCACTGCTATCAGGTGAAAACATTTGAATTTTAATTTGTGAAAAACTAAGAAATATGGGTTTAAAGTTTGAAAATGTTGCAGTCACAGAACCCTAAAATGGGAACATCATCACCATTTGAATTGTTGTTACGATTAGCTGTGCGTGAGTTGTTTAGGACCCAGTAAATATGCAGATTCAAACCCAGGTTAGACAAGAAAAACGTATTTAATGCTCCACAAAAACAAACAAAACAGAGCCGGTCTCGCCTGCTGTTCTTGGGGCAGCTGTGCACACTGATTTGACTGGACTACCATCTCCCGGGGGTGAATGAGAGGCGTTGCTCGCTAAATAAGAACAGAGAGAGAGTTTAAGAACAAGCAGCAGGTATGGTATAGATTGTTTCTGGTAGTCACTCTGGGGACCTGAACAGCTGAGTGCGCCGCAGGCCCAGGGAGTAGTCCAGGTAGTGGGAGACTGGTGCCATAGATCTCGGGTTCGGTGTGTGGGTCCCCTGATGAGGCAGCGCTGGTAGCATGAGCGGTGCAACGTAGGATTGTGGCGCTGTCCCAGGATTGCTTTGGAGCTCTGAGAGGAGGAGCAATTCACAAAAAGCAGTCCAAAAACCAAAAAATACTGCTCCGATAATGGAGAGCAGGTGTGCCTCGTCGCCTGGAATGCACCCTCACCTGTGCGGGGGCGGAGCTGCTGGAACTACCTGTGCCTGCTACCTGTGCGAGGTACATGGGGCGGCCCGGGTCACGGACGGTAACAATTGTTGCTTTTTCATAACAATAATATTATCTGCTGATGGGTCAGTTGTGTTTGTAAAATGACAGAAATGGCACATTGCAGTTTTCTTTACTGAAAGCATCACACAGGCACATTAGCAGAGGAACATCACAAGGTCAATGTGTCTGTTGACTCACAAGGTAAAAGGAAAGTCCAATCATTATTTGAGACCAAACAGAATGTAGAAAAGCAGGACATCTACATCTGCTCTAATAGTAGTTGAGTTTTATTTCCTTTCTTCTCTCCCTGTTTCTGCTCTGTCTTTCCTCCATGTGTTTGCCTGTGAAATGCTTTCCTCCCCCCGTGGGAGCTCACGAACAGCTGACTCACTCCTGTTCTCCCCTCTCCTTTCATTTTTTACATTATTCAAACAGCTGCATTGCTTATCCTTAGACACAAGGCCGCGCAGTAGCCATGACCCCAGCAGGCGCACTTCAGCACACATGAGCAAATGCACCTACATTATAATCTGTTCATCTCTGTGAAAACGGCAGAATAGAATCGAATAGAATGGTGAAAGTTGAAGTATAAAATAGACAGTTTAGAGGTGAAATCAAACTAAGTCAAAAGCGTTCAGAGGAAGAGTAAAGCTGGTAGACACACTTGGATGGCACACTGTTGTTTCTCTGTGCTCTCGCTGTCCATCTGTTACTTTGTCTTTTGTTATGTTGTTTGTTTGTCCCTTGTCAGACCAAAACAAATCAAAACAAATACATCATAACTGGGTCTCCAAGAAGTGCCAGAAACCCAACACATATGACCAGATTTTCTCAAAAAACAGACTTTAGTGAATCTGTCATTTTGTATAGTCTTTATGCCATTTGCCAAGTCGACTCGATCATATTGTGTCTATAATCTGCTAATAAGTTGTAATCATTTCTAAATCATTTTCTAATAAAGTGTGAAATATGCCTGTTGTAAATAAAAGATTCTTCAACCAACAATCCAAAACCCAAATGTACTCTATTATTATCCCTCTGTTATGCAAAATGATCAATTATCAGAACAGTTGCTAATAAATCTTTTGTTAATTTATTAATGGACTCATCATTGTGGCTCTAATGCTGCACTATATTATCTTTAAATACTATTAAATTACATACTGACTATTTGTGCACCAGTAAACATCTTGCTGTTGTTGTACAGGGTCACACTTTCTCATTCATAATTTCTAAACCTGCTGCAGAATAAACCTAACTTGGTTTGAAAATTCACTTAAAAATAGGTCTGCTATATCAAACTCCCTTTTCCACAAAGACGCTCAGGCAATTTGTGAGTTTTACTTAAACAGTTTTACAGTCATCTCGCTGTCACTGTTCATGTCCTAATGAAGGGTAGACCTTGCCATCACTGGAAATACAAGCCCTCATCCTTCCCCTGTGAGACTTTTAGTGTTTGTCAGTTTTTCTTCCCATTGGTATGGAGACAGACCTTAAGGTAGGAGCTACTGTCATGTGCACTGCTCTCATAATTGAGATGGACACATGGAGAGAAGAGAGGTGTGTGCTGTCAGCCTCCATATCAGTCAGTCATTTTATTCTTTCATTCATTCAGTCAGTGGGTCATTTCATTGCTTCACTTAGTCTGTTAGCCATTCAGTACGTAAATCAGTACACAACACTGACAACAATTCCCTAAATGCTTCAAGGGGATTTTGTTGTTTACATTGCATGTTGTTTTCAAGTAATTTTATCTGAACACAACTGATTAAAATGATTTGATATGTTTTGGATGCAAATTTCCACCATAAAAGTCTTCTCTTCTCTTCTCTTCTCTTCTCTTCTCTTCTCTTCTCTTCTCAATTCTAAAGCCAAATGTTTTCCATAATCTCTTGTCCTCAGTTCTTCATGTATGTACCTTTTGCTGTTACAGTGGTGAACAATCAACACAGTTTTCTATTAATAAAGTGTTTTTTTCACACCAAGGTTGATTGGAGAAATTCTAAACTCACAGCATTATTTCTTTTGACTGGATGCCACTGTATGTACATGTTTGCAGGGGGTGATTTGTTCAAAAGAGAACTGGGTGAAGATGATGATTTGTAATTTTCATTTATATAGTACCCAAAATCTGTTACCAGCAGGTGCATAGCTGATTTTAGTAAACATGCTCTTTGATTACCTTTCAGTTTTGCAGAGAGGAAGGCTTGTGTGTTTCACCTCAGACTCTAAACTAGCAGATTTTTACTTTTCTGATGCAAACTGATTGTATCTGGAAAGTCCAGGAAATACTGGACACACACAGCTGACCTGATCAAGGAACATATTTGTTAAGGCATTTGTGATAATGAGGGAAACTCTTCCCCTTTATCCCTCTCAAATCACCCCTTTTATGTTGTGTACCTGTCTGTATGTGTGTTATGTGTGTGTGTATAATCCATTTTGTTTTCTGTGTTCCAGAAATAGGATCTCCAAATCCAAGTTCAGGTTAGTAGATGTTGTTTATCATAGTCCTTAAACTCATCTGCTCTAATGTCTCTACTTGTATGGTGTCTGTATAGTACAATGTGTGTACACATATCCACAAGAAACAGACAAAGCGAAAGCCTTCTGTGTAGGTAAAAGAACATTTTCAGCTGGTAGCAGGTTAACTTAGCTCAGCACAGAGTGGAAACAGTGGGAAACTGTTTGCCTGGCTCTGTCTAAAGATAACAAGAAACGCCTCACTAATTAACACGTTATAGCTTGTTTGTTTTATTTGTTGGCTGGGCACAGTAACATATCGCAGCCCCTGCAAAGTAAGGATTTTGTCCCCCCTTCTTCCAGTCCTTGTGTTATGCTAAGCTAATGGGCTGCTAGCTTCATTTAACTCTCACCAAGAAAGCAAATAAGGGTCTTTCCAAATATATTGAACTGGTCCTTTAAAAAGAATTGGTCATTTGCCTGTGATGATGTTTTCAATTTGCATAAATTAATATAATCAGATTACTGTAACAAAACCTTGTTTCAAAAGGTTCCAGATGAATGAAGAATGCATGTCCACTCATGTTGTGTTGTGAGTTGTGTCTCATGTAACATTCACTGTGTGCATCATGGCAGAAACCGCTGTGTGCCATGACTGACTCCAAACAGGTTTCACACACTCAAACAGAAGACTGGTGAAACATGAATTTTGTATAGGCAGAGAGAGAGAGAGAGAGAAGACTTCCTGGTGAGCTGTGCTGATCTCTTTGAAAAGAGGCCTGACACTTACAGTGGCTGACATATGCCCTTGCATATAAGTGTGGTGGGGCGGACAATGGGATCAAGTATAAATAAAGAGTAAATACTTGATATACAGTAGATGGAAGCTAATAAATACATACATTTTTAATTTAAGTTACTGCAGGTAAAGTGTGGTACAATCAGAATGCTCCTACATGGATATCCACATGTTTATCCACTTTGTTTATAAAGAAGTCTATAATTAACAAATTATTACCTCATCATTAACTTTTAAGGTAGCTGGGAACAAATTCTTGTAATTACATATTGCCATTTTTCCACTGTATACTGTATGTAGCTGTATGCCTACATTTGTACATATGGAAAATGTATTGATTGAAAAAATACTGACTTATTGGATTCCTCCCACAAAGGTGACACATAAAAATATGAAACTAAAGTGAGATTCAAGCTTCACTGCTTCTCTACAAAAACACAGGTTACTGTTGCTTTGAGTTTGCTTACAGAGAATAGGACAGTTATGACATTGTACACTTGTCAAATCACTGGTACATGGGCAGCATGGCCCTTTGAGTGGACCGTTTCACATCAATGTGAGTGCGAGGTGTGAAGCTGACAATTACCAGAAACAATAACTGATTTTCAACAGTGGAGGGCAAGAAAAGAGCAAAAGACCCTGTGCACAGCACAACATAGAGCAACATATTGAATTGTGTAAAAAGAAAAAAATGTGCTTTTTGTGCTAAAATGAATCATTTCTTCTGTTGGTTGGAATCACAACACATTTCACTTTAAATTGGCCCCTTCATTCATTTAGCAAGAATAAATGTTTCTTTTTTTCTCAAATCGAGCATATTTCATTGTATAACAGAGCTCTTCATATTAGCTTCTTCTTGGTGTGAACTGTGATGACTAACTGCTCCACAGCTCTGCTCTCAAATAACAGACAACCACGGGATGATGTCATCACTACTGTGAAGACTAACTTTCTTTTTCTTCTCTCTTCTGCTGTACTCTCTTCTTCATTTGTTTCATTGGATCATTCTTTGCCTGTTGGGCTGTTTATCATCCTCTTTCTTTCCCCTCCTCATCTGCCTCTGCATTTTATTCTCTTCCTTTGCATTCTCTCTCTCTCTCTCCATCCCTCCAACCCTCCTTTCCCCTCACATCTCACTGTCTGTAACATTCCTACCTCTTTTCTCACCCTTCTCTTTCTCCTTATCTTCCATCTTTTCTCACCTTTCCATCTCTTTCTCAGTCGCTACTCTCGGCGGTGGAACAGGCTGTGTAGGAGAAAGTGTCGGGCGGCCGTCAAATCGCAGGTTTTCTATTGGCTGGTCATCTTCCTGGTTTTCCTCAACACTCTGACCATTGCCTCTGAACATCACAAGCAACCTCAGTGGTTAACTGATGTACAAGGTTTGTAAAAACATGGCACATACATAGATATATGTATACACAAGCACTGGCGTATTGCTGAACTTCACCTTTCTGCATTATCTTTATTTTTCCACCTTTCCTGCATTCTCATTCCATTCACTTCCCTTGTTTCTCCTTTCTCTTTCTCCTTTTCCCCCTTCCCCTCAGACATAGCCAATAAGGTGCTGCTAGCACTCTTCACTGGTGAGATGCTGTTGAAGATGTACAGTCTGGGCCTGCAGGTAGGAGGCTAAGGCTAATAAGTCAATGTTAACTGCCAAAAGTATTATGTGGGAAAAGGCTGCCACTGCCTGAATAATCTTATTCTCCTCTGCTGTCTACCTTTAACTAATTTCTCTTCTCCCTTTGCTTTCCACAGGCATACTTTGTTTCACTGTTTAATCGCTTCGACAGCTTCGTAGTTTGTGGAGGAATTCTTGAGACCATTCTAGTGGAAACCAAGATCATGTCTCCTCTCGGCATCTCTGTGTTACGTTGTGTGCGGTTGCTACGAATCTTCAAAATAACCAGGTAAGTAAAGATATCTGTAACATTGACAGTTATTAAACAGAGTTTTAAGAAGGAGTGTAATTTTTTATACATACTGAAAATCACCTACTGCAGTACTGGACAATAAAACAGCAACAATAGCAACCAAATGTCCTCAGGATGCATACAGAAATCCATAACAGACAAAGTCAAGTTGAGTGTGTATTTGTAAGAGATACATCTTTATGCATGTACCTTTACACCTGTTTACACTTTTATTTTTGCACATTCGCATTTCCTTGAGTTTCTCCGTTTTAACTGAACTCTCCCCCACAGATACTGGAACTCGCTGTCCAACCTGGTGGCCTCCCTGCTAAACTCTGTTCGTTCCATTGCATCCCTGTTGCTCCTGCTGTTCCTCTTCATCATCATCTTCTCCCTGCTCGGCATGCAGCTCTTTGGGGGGAAATTCAACTTCGATGAGACCCGTCGCAGCACCTTCGACAACTTTCCCCAGTCTCTGCTCACTGTGTTTCAGGTATCGATGCTGTGAATGTTCCTGCTCTGTGTCTTGTTCTGCTGCTGTGTTCTCTTCCTTCTTGGTGTCTCATCCATTCTTAGTTTACATCCATGAAATTATGAACTTTGTCTTCTTCATTTAAGCTACTATGAGGCTTAAAATCAAATGAAATGTATCACTGTCAATGAATATCATTGTCACAAGGGTGAGAGGTTCTTTCCAATAAAAACCTAAGTTTCCAAATACTTCCTTTATCAGATGAGATTGTTATTCTGCTTATTTCTTTCTTCATAGATCCTAACAGGAGAGGACTGGAACTCTGTGATGTATGATGGCATCATGGCATATGGTGGACCGTCCTTCCCTGGCATGCTGGTCTGCATCTACTTCATCATCCTCTTCATCTGTGGAAACTGTATCCTAGATAGTTATGCAGCAGCCTAGATGAATCTTAAGGATGGTTGAGAGGTGAAAGGTCTGGGGCTAAGCTAGACCACCAAATGTGTTTTCTGATTCTCTTAAATGTGACTCTATCAAATAGATAGCAGTGTGACTGTAATTTGAATAAGATCAGATATGGTTTCTAGTGCCTCTTTAAGATACAATTGTAGGAGCTGTAGATCACTCAGTATCTCCAGTCAAGCAGTTGGGCGCTCAATGTCTTTCATCATGCATACAGTTTCCTGGTTAGTCACTTAGCGTAGCATATGGTTTGCGGCCAATCGCACCGATGATCTGACAGATCAGCAACATCCTTAACTCCACCCCTTTGAACAGATATCCTACTGAATGTCTTCTTGGCCATTGCTGTAGACAATCTCGCAGATGCTGAGAGCCTGACATCTGCCCAGAAAGAAGAAGAAGAGGAGAAGGAGAGGAAAAAACTGGCCAGGTAAAGCAGAAGGAGAAAGAAACAGAAGCAGACATTTAGTTTTGAAAAGAGAGTGGGAGACTTTGGCCAACAGCATCAAGGGAGAGCTTTAGCTCACAGTGATCAGTCTGTAATGCCTAGAGGAAGAATACTAGAGGCTGGAAATCATAGCATTAAAGTACTTAACAATTAGAATATTTAAGACATTTGCCTGTTTCTGTCTAAAACCTATTTTAGTGGGTAATTTTAGCATCTCATTGCCTGCAAAGGTAATTTGTCAGTAGTGGTAATGTGAGATTTTAGTGCAGGTGAGGAAAACAATGTTCCCCTCTGTGGCATAAATCATTAAATGTCTCTTTCCTGGTTACAGCCTGTATTGATCTGAGGAAGAAGTGTGATGGAAAGCATTTACCTGCCCACTATCCTCTTTGTATGATTATAACGGCACTCTGTGATTGAAATATACCCCATCATTGAAAATCTAAGTGTTTATTTTGTTCTTCTGGTGTTAATTTATATGTGATCCAATACAAGGAAGTGGATTAACATGGGGCTAACACTGCTAGGGTTAGACAAAGGGGAAAGATGCTACAGATGAGGATCTTCTCTTCCCTCCTCTTTCTCCAGGTTGGCCAGTCCAGAGAAGTGTCAGGACAATGAGAAGCCACCTCTGGAGGAGAAGAAGGAGAAGATAGAGCTCAAGTCCATCACCTCTGATGGAGAGACCAACACTGCTACTAAGGTACACAGAGACAGCACATCAAGAAAGATTCAGTACGTGCCTGTGTAAGTACTGTAATTGAGGAAATCAAGGAATTTATGAATAAATGCAATGCTCTCCATGATCTGCAGATCAACATGGATGACTACTGTGGAGATGAGAATGAAGAGAAGAATCCATATCCTGCAAATGACTACATAGGTAACACGTGTAAATCAATCGTTTTCAACATTTTGCTTCTTGATATATGTAGATGTGTAAAACATTGGCCTTACTTACATGTAAATGCACGTGTAGTACAGCAGCTGCTCACTGACTGTTTTGGTATTTTATTTGATTGTTTTATATCCGGTTTTATTTATTTCTCAAAAACCTACAGATGTTTCTTCAGGTGACTAAGACTTTCCCTTCTCTTCCTGTCCTGTTTCCTCTTCTTTCTCCTCTTCCTCCTCCCCATCAGGAGATGATGATGATGACGAGCCAGAGATGCCAGTGGGCCCGAGGCCACGGCCACTCTCCGACATTCAGCTAAAGGAGAAGGCTGTTCCCATGCCTGAGGCTCGTGCTTTCTTCATCTTCAGCCATACCAACAAGTAAGAAGACACTGTACTTCTGTCGCTTACTTTTTCTTCCTTTGTACCTCCCCGTGTTTTTCCCCCTCTTCTATGTTTCTCATATTTTTATATCTTCTGTATTCTCCAAATGTTCTGATCATTTAAGATTTGTGTTATATTTATAAAAAGAAACTCTGATGATTCTCTCTTGGTCACTCTCTACTTCTGTTTTTCTCACTTTGTTTTTCAGATTCAGGGTTCTGTGCCATAAGATCGTCAACCATAACATTTTTACCAACCTCATCCTCTTCTTCATCCTGCTCAGCAGCATCAGTCTGGCAGCGGAGGACCCAGTCAAGAATGACTCCTTCAGAAACCAGGTAACACATGCAACTAAAAACATGTTCAAAATTTTAAAGTGTAAATACAGAACATACACATATAAAGCCAAGTAAACATTAAGGCACAAACAGAAGGAAAAATTGCAGCCATCTTTAATTGCATGCATCTTACTTTTAATTAAATTTTTTTCCAGAGTATTGTAACAGTGATTAACTTCATGTTAACAAAATGTGAAATGCCTGCTAAGGTAAGACCGGTCACTTAACCCTATAATATATGCAATGCACTCATATAGCAAAGAAAGTGAGTTATAAAAATGTATACCCCTTAGGTTTTTTGTTAACCTGCATTTAACTAAGAAAGTTTATAATTAGTTCAGGATTTATGCACATGTCTTAAGCCTTGAGCCAAATGTTATAAATGTTGTCGAATGCTTATGGTTATAATTGTTATATATAACAGCTGTAAATGTGAACTATATTCTAATGTAAAGACAGAGTGCATACTGTACACATTGTCTGTTCTCACTGAGCTCCTCTGGGGGCTTATCAACATCTGTTTTACTGTCTTTTCCTTAGCTTCAATATATCCTGCTGTATATTAGTCTGCCTCAGCTAACCTTAGTCTGACTCCTTAATTAAATAGTACTTCTTGTTTTCAAATTTTGTTCTGTTTTCAAAGTCAGTCTAATTGGAATTTTTTATCCTTAGACCGGAAGCACAAAATTATTATTTTAGTATGCTGTAGAGTCATCCCGGACCATGCTACAGTTGTTCAGCTTTAACCCAGACAAACTGCACCTCCTCTTGTTTCTCTCATAGTTTCAAATGGGTAAACAAGCCCTAACCTTAGAAAGAGTTATGTTGTTACTGGTGGACCCTACTGAATTAGGTTTTGAATGTTGCTGAATTTATTCAGCCTTGCTCTCCAGAATGTTGTACAACCTGTTTTCAGTCATAATTTTGTCATAGTTAACAACTATTTCAATCGGTGGTGACATAATGCCTCACTCAGGAAGCCAATGCATACTGTGCAGAACAAAAACATTGTTATTCTCAGTCCTTGAGAAGCTACTGTAGAGTGTACACTGGTCCAACAGTATCAGGGAAATGGTATATCTCAACTGAAAATGATGATGCTCTGTGTTGCGTTTTCAGATCCTTGGCTATGCAGATCATGTCTTCACTGGACTCTTCACCATAGAGATCATTCTGAAGGTAGTATTCATTATTTGTGATATAGGATTTGAGGTCTGCATGATCTCTTTGCTTTCAACAGTTTTAATCTGCTGCTTGAATTTTTTAGAACTCATAAAAGGCTGCTGATACCAAACAGCGGTTGGTATTTGTTGCAGCCTAGTTGATGTACCTGTGTTTTTCTGGCAATAATCCCTTCTCACCTTGTAGTTTAAGGCAGGTTAAACAAAGACTAAGAACCATTCACAGAAAATATGCAGTGCTCTTTGTGGTCTGTGTGTACTGTACTAAATAGCGATTTCTTTATTTGACCTCGACAGATGACAGCCTATGGAGCCTTCCTCCATAAAGGTTCATTCTGTAGAAACTATTTCAACATCCTGGACCTGGTGGTGGTTAGTGTGTCCCTCATCTCCTCTGGAATACAGTGAGTGCATTATAGTGCTTATGAAATGCTGATGTCTTGCAGTGTGTTTTGTCAATTCACTCATGCTCATTCTTAACCTTTTAATCCAAATAATGTGCAATTAGATTAGTTGGCAACAATCCTAAGTGGCATCAGTGTAGCTTACAGTATCATGAAATGTATATTTGTGTTATTTCACGTTAAAACATTGGAGCAGTCAGCCAGACACAGTTGAAGACAACAAATCAAATTGTGAAGTGGCTAAATGGGGAAGTGTTTCAGTATGTAAATTCCCTCATGCTTCACACTTCTCTCTGTTCTCTAACAACTTTACACTTCATTACTCCCAATCATTTCTCTCTCTGATGTTTATTAAAGATGTTCTCTGCTTCTTGTAGCAAATAACTCCATGAAATGCTGTGATATTTCTGATGTTTAATATGCTATACTACACTCTCTGTCTCTAATGCTTAATAGACTAGACTTCTCGACGTAAGTTTATATTAGTCCGTATTAATAACCCCCTTAACAGAGCTTCACCCTAACTGTCTAAAACCGTCACTCTTTTGATTTGATATTTCTATGGTCTTGGAGAGTTTAGTCAGAGCAGGAAACAAGAAAAACCAAGATCTGTGCTGTTACTGACAGGCAATACATTTGTATCGATAATAAATGGGTGATTTGTAATTATGAACATATGGTATCATGTTGAGTTAGGTGCATGCCAAAATGCCAGCAGAACAATTGCTTTTGAACAAGAGAATGTGTCTCTTTGGGTAGATTGTTCTCTAATAAAGTCACTTTTCAAATCTAATTCATGCTAATAAGTTTGTTCATCTAGTCTATGTCATAGATTTAGGAGCAGGTCAAGCTCACCTTTTATAGTTCTGAATCAACTGAACTCTCTTGGGCTATAGAAAGAAGTGATTCCTTGCCTGTTAAAGGTAGTGAGTGAGTGTGCGGGATTTTTGAATGTATCACAGTCAAATTAATTGAGATGGTACCACAGTCAATAGTGCCTGCAAAGTGTTACAGGACTTTGATTATTTAGTTTCCTGTCATGGTGTTTTACTACTGTTGCTTCCCAATAATCAAGTATCTTAAGTATATATCCACCCCTCTCACTTGTTGTAGAAAAACAGGTAAAACCTAATAATAAAGTTAAATGATTCTAGTCATTAAAAGTAAAATCAATTTCATCAAATAACATTATAACATATAAAAAGATTAGATTATTTTTGTATTCTCTGCTCACATGATGGATCACTTGTTGCTTTCTGATCCAGACAGTTGGTAACTAGTGTACAGTAACAAGTTCTCCATCCCTGCCATCCCAGTCAGTTGAAGCACACAGCAGACATTTTCATTATTGCAGCATGTAAAAAGTTATATTTTTAGACTCATCTGACATTAGTATGACTTGTACTATCACTAGACAATATCCCTGCAGCTGCTTTGACTGTGATATGTTACTGATAACATCCTGCTCTACCTATACTACCTTTAAACCGCTTTTAAATTTTACCTTTATATGTAAAAAGTTGCACAGCAGGTGTTTTTCTCACTTTATGTTTAATATTTAATGCAGAGTAATGTCACTCCCTTTAAATCACTCATTTAACCATCTAAAAAGTCACTGCCTTAAAAGGATACATTGACATTTCTTTCTTTCTATCTTTGTCACACTATGGGAACTGTTTTTGTATTTGTTCTTCAGTTAACTGAATAAATGGCCTATTAGCCTTCTTTGCTGAAATGAAAAATAAATAACACTGGCAGGTCAAATGTCTACCTGTAGACAAAATTTAATAAGATTTACACTCGTGCCTAGTTCAAATTGCTGAAGAACAAATGTTCAAGCTTTTTTCCAAAAATTTATTGTCAAATTTAAAATGTCAAAGTATCAGTTTGATTCTTTGTGTTCGTATGTGAAAGGTTTGTTTTGAGCTACTTCCTTTAAAAGGTCACAGTGTTTGACCTTTGACCTGTACTGACACTCTCTTTCAGAGCAGTAACACTTCTGTTTGCCTGTAAATGTGTTTTTGTTGTTCCTGTGCGTGTTTGTCTGTGTGTATTTTGTGTGTTGTACTGTTCATACACATTTTTACTAAAATGTGTTGTAAGCAATTTATGTTAAAACGAGAACCCATGCTGTCTATTCCCTGTCTTTAAAGTGTTCAGTAATGACTGATGCTGTGGTTGTCTTTTTTTACTCTAGCTGTACAAAATAACCAATACTCTTTAATAGAATTGTTTTTTGTCAAAAACCAAATTAAAGGAAATGTATAGTGGTTTACTGGCTGTCTAAACATGTATCTACAATCTCACATCGGCTAAATGAAATCTCTAGCTATATTCCTTTTGATAAAATTTACTATAAGCCTCATTATAATGAGGAAGACTTCTTGAAAACATAGCTTCCAAATAAGGAACTCTTGGACAATGGAGTTTCTAGGAAAGAGGTCTGACTTGTATCTATGATGCTTTGTTGCTTTGTTATTATTACTTTGATATATTTTGTAAGTATTTGTATGTATTTTTTTTCTTTTCTGTTGTTGTTTCTTTTTGCATCACTCCCCAAGGGGATTGGTTGGATTTTGTAATGGGGAAAGAAGAATTTAAAATAAAAAAATAAACAAAATGCTATAATTTTTCAAACAGAAGCATGTATTAAAATTGTTGTAGTCGTTTCTAGAATGTATTAACTTAGACCAGAAAATAATTCATTCTCTTGTGAGATATTATTTGGTACAGGTAGTACAGTTAGTCTGAATTAATCCGAAAGGGCATCCGGCATAAAACATGCCAAGTTTAGCATGGGCATTGTCATTTAGGTGGCGACTCATATTTTGCTGTAGCGAGCCCTAACGAGAGCAGCCGAAAGTGGAAGAAGAAGAAGAAGAAGAAGAAGAAGAAGAAGTAGTAGTACAGTTACTCTGAAATATTTTTTTATAGCTGTGCAGCATATGTTTTATAAATGTTATATTCCAGTAAACATATTGTAACATCATCTAGGTTGAAGAAGCAGCCAACTTTACTTATCAAGTTTATTTTCATTTATTTCTTGTTTAATCATTTCAAGTATTATTTCGTATCATTTTCTTGTTGGGTTTCAGATATTGTTTTTCAGTTGTCATCATTTTTTTTGCCTCTTGGTCATTTTAATTTCCTTAGCTTGTATGTAGAGTTGTCTCTATCTCCACAGTTTGTTAAAAATCTCAAATAGAGAATGTTCCCTAAGATATGTGTTCATATTAAAATGCATGTCCAATCGGTTTGACTGGTCAGTAGTTTAATCTGACATGTGTTTCAGGTCCAGTGCGATTAATGTGGTGAAGATCCTGAGAGTTCTGCGAGTGCTCAGACCGCTGAGGGCCATCAACAGAGCCAAGGGACTAAAGGTTAGCACACCTACACATAAAGACATATAACTTATGAAACACAATAACTCTTTTCTAAACAAAAGAGGCACACAAGTATACTCACAGTCCTTTCTGGTATGTTTTCCAGCATGTTGTGCAGTGTGTTTTTGTGGCCATCAGGACCATTGGCAACATTGTCATTGTCACCACATTACTCCAGTTCATGTTCGCATGTATTGGAGTACAACTCTTTAAGGTAAAGAGGAAAGGAGAAAAAGAATGAGGGGCTTTCCTGGGGTAGTCTGCAGATATGAAATGTCATCAATGATAATGTAGTAGTCATGTAAATTTTCATATAGTAAGTACTAAATGTCTATGTTTTCCCTCAGGGCAAGTTCTCCTTCTGTACTGACAGCTCTAAACAAACTCAGGCAGAGTGCAGGTAAGAGATCTTCCCGCACTCAGGCTTGTTAATCTCTCTCTTATAGCCTAACTGCTGATTAAATGCGAATAAGTGTGTCTGTTTGTGTTTACAGGGGTTCGTACATCATGTATAAGGATGGTGATGTGGGGAAGCCTGAAAGAGCCCAGAGATCATGGGAGAACAGTGACTTTAACTTTGATGATGTTCTACAAGGCATGATGGCTCTATTTGCTGTGTCTACCTTTGAGGGCTGGCCAGGGTGTGTGTTTACAGCACATACAAACACAGTGTACATGTATATTTGTCTGTGGACTTGATCCAATATCACTTGTGATAATTAAAGCTTTTTACTTAGAACAGTGGAGGTGTAAATGGCTTTCGTCTCCCCCTCTTTCTGTCCCTCCCCTGTCCTCAGGTTACTATACCGAGCCATAGATTCTCATGCTGAGGACGTCGGGCCCGTCTACAACTATCGCGTGGTCATCTCCATCTTCTTCATCATCTACATCATCATCATCGCCTTCTTCATGATGAACATCTTTGTCGGTTTCGTCATTGTCACATTCCAGGAGCAAGGAGAGCAAGAATATAAAAACTGTGAGCTGGACAAGAACCAGGTAGCATTCCTGTGTCTTTTACATTAAGTTACTACAGAATTTGTATAAGCCTTTGTGTGTGTATAGCTGCACTTTCATTATTTTGTTTTGGAGCGGGGTGGATGTGAAGTGGGAGTTTACAAGTAAAATTTAGAGGGCACTAGTTTTCTAATACAGACTAAACTCCAAGCGAAGGTGCATATGGGTATGCCCAACAGTTTGGGTTTTTTTTTTTTTTGCTGACCACAAGTGTTGGTGCATATTGGGTGTAGCCAGGTGTTACCGATGAGTTTGACTGCTGTTCTGACTGAAATAAGAAAGTCTTTCTGTCATTCAGGGGGCACAAAGGAAAGAGAATGGAGGCCAGTGGGGTGTGAGACATGGAAGAATATAGAAAGGCTGAACATGTGTTTTAGGAGCTAAACTGCTTTAGGAGTCTATCCAGGAGGAAGCTGCAGCAGTTCAGACAGACTAAAGCTCAAAGAAAGAGCAAGGGCAAGTCATTGCAACTGTGTTCTCTGTGATTGGAAATGCAAAGAAAGGATGGAAGAATAGTCTGGGATGGAAAAGGCTTTTTTAGGCTGCCAAAATAATATTTGTACAGCTTTTCCTCCATGATGGTCTGAGTAGAGAGAGACAGAGAGATGGGGTGCTGGGGATTTTCATCATCAGACAGAAGTTAAGCGAAAATGTCCTTGTTGGTGCATGCTCACATGTTTGTGTGTGTGTGTCATAGCGTCAGTGTGTGGAGTATGCCTTGAAGGCCCGTCCGTTGCGTCGCTACATCCCCAAGAACCCCTACCAGTACAAGGTGTGGTATGTGGTCAACTCCACATACTTTGAGTACCTGATGTTCACACTCATCCTTCTGAACACCATCTGTCTGGCCATGCAGGTGAGTCTGGCACACACACACTCACAGAGTGCACACACAGAAAATGGGAAAATATTGCAGTCAGGGCTTTAAACTGCCACTATATATGCAAGTACTAGTCTTTGTGGACATTAATGAGTTGTTTCTTTGTCTTTTCAGCATCATGGACAGACCAAAAATTTCAATGATGCCATGAACATCCTCAACATGCTCTTCACAGGACTCTTCACTGTGGAGATGATCCTTAAACTGATCGCCTTCAAACCCAGGGTAGGTCCATTACTTGAGCTGCAGGATAGAATAAGAGAGAACTACAGTAGAGTCTTATAGAACAGCATAGAACACACTATAAGTCAAATAGAATATAACAAAATAGACATTTTATCCAGTAAATCACTCTTATTGCAAATAACTGCTGGATGATGTTGAACTGTGTATTCCTAACTCATATGTTATTTGCTCCTGATGATAATTATGATATTATGGATTTAAAACATGGTTAGGGGATGGTGTCATGTGGTTTTTAATCTCACTGTTCCCCTGTTTCCCTGCTGTTGTTTCCAACTACATTTAGCCATGTGGGCTTATTTGTCGAGTCATAGAATACCCTTGTGCATCAGCTTTTTAAACAGTAAGAGATGGGAATGTTTCCCCATTTTACCACAGTGGTAGTGGGAAATCTTTAAACATGAGCACTACCAAAAATATAATGTAATATTGTATTTTTATTGTCATTTCTATTGGTGCACAATACATGTTTCATATGAAAAGATAGCAGTAATGATATTTTACAGATTATGGTTTATCAAACAGCAATGAAAAATAACATTGTGAACTTTTGCATTTTAACTCATTACCTGTCTTCTTTAATATGGTAAATTGAACTAGGGTGTGGTTTTTTTCCTTCTCCTTCTTCTTCATTTTTATTTCATTTTTCCTTCCAGGATAACTAACAGCAGTACAAGTTTCACTTTTAAACATTAGGCTTTCACTACCATATGTAAAGTTAATTGCTGGAAGTTAGTGGCTGGGATTAATGAAAAACATCCACAAACCAGGATTTTTAAACAACTAACTTTATTCTTGTGTTATTCCAATTAGCTTCTAAATGTAAATTATGTTCTACAAAATGTGCCCTTTTATATAGATGGATGAAAGATGAGTAACATAATGAATTATTTTAAGCACTAGTGGCCCCAGTTATACTTGATCCCCTAACTGAGCAGGACAACTGCTCGAACTTGGGAACTGATATTATGCTGCGCTGCATTATACATGTGATGTTATGTTGTATTGTGTTGTGTTTACCTCAAGTGAGTCTAATTTAAACTGCTGGGCTTTTGTGGGCAGTTTTGCAGAATTGTCTTGTTTTAAACGTGAGCATGTCAGGGTTTCTTCAGTCAAGCTGTAAATATTTGAGTTGCTGACACTTTTTATATTCTTTCATGAATTTAGTCAATAGTGTAGTATGATGACACATTGCAAAGCCATATTGAACACTGCTAATGAATTGGCTTATTATTTGGATGTGACTGAATTGTAGTGGAAATGACTACACTTAGAAAATGAGCACCAGGATTCAATATTCAAATACCTTGAAAGATTTAAGCACCAGGTGGCTTGAGTCCCACTAAACTATAAACAATTCAAAGTAATTCAATCAGTCTGGATCTGAAAATAATAAATTCTTCAAGTTCAGTGAACTACTTTGCTGAAAACAAGAGACCCAAAGATGACATAATGAAGCCAGTTATAAGCTAAATAAATCTATTTACAATATGTACACAGGGAAAATGATGAGATGAGAGATGTAATGCAAATGGTACATTTATGAATGTTCTGATGAATGAATAGCTATTCTGTCTGTATCAGAGATGGTGGAAGCTTATCATTCTAAATGTAAGTTCTGGAATCTTATTCCAAATATGGAAAGGTAAAATAACTATCAATTTATATATATTAGAGACTTTAGTTTGGTAACTAATACTGTAGCTAATATCAAACGTTTTCATGAGATATCAGTCAGCCATAGTACACTTATCTGCTAACAGGAGTTTACCATTTAGCTTTGGAGACTCCATGTGGTCAGGAGGAGGGGAAGTGCTGGCTCTGAGGCTATCATAGGCCAGAGTCGAGTAGGTCCAGAGTGCCGAGATGGTTCCACGCTGAGAATTCGGAACACGTCTGTCGTCGCCAGATTTCAGGCTCACTTCAGGAGTGTAGTAGCTGCTTCTAGCTGGCCTGTTCTCCTTCAGAGGTGGCTTCAGAGGTCCTTCTATCATGACTATTCAGAAATGTTTTGTCAAAAAAACGTATTTAATTTAACCGATCGCTGCAGGATTGTTCTGATAGTGTCACTGGAGTTTAACAAAGGATTCTGCTTCACTAGAACTTTCTTTAGGCTTTGCTAGAAAAAGTTTCTCTTGTTTGAGAAGTTTGCTATACTTAGTGTTGGAGCACGTGTACTTCAGGTGGCTTCTTTTAGGTTTTCAGAATAAAGCAAAAATTCAACTTATGGTGCTAAATAATAAAACACTCTTCCTGCGGTGATGTGAGCAAGCAGTCTAAATGAAAAAGATCAATATAACACTAAACATAAAACACACTGACGAGGGACAAACCCTAAGAAGGCTCAAAGTTTCTTTTTGTCTTTCTTCGGTTTGCAGGAACTCTGTTTTTCTGAAACAAAGGGAGCAGTTATCAGCTAGTGTGGGCATGTGCTAGAGAGCAGAGACTTCATCCGATTGGCTTGGACGTCCACAGACCCAGTATTCTAATTGGTCAGGGCTCTTGCGGCTCTGAAAATGATTTCTGATTGGGTCTGCAGGCACGGCAGAGAGAAGTTCATGTCTCATCTATAAGTTTAGATCAGAAAACTTTTGAAAATTTATCTTATTTCCATCATGGCTGCAACACATAATCTCAAGCAAGAAATAGTTTGACAAGAAACAAACTTAATCATCAATACACAATCATGAAAATAAAGATTAACAAAGTCTCTGGTGATAGTTGATTTGTCAAGCATCTGAAATAATAAGTATGCTGTTAGTGTGATGAACATTAATGCATCACATTATTGAAACTTCAGGCTTTGGAACCATTTCTAAGGGAGAAGGATTCTAGTGAAGAAGTCATCTGTGTCCATCATTAGTTTGGCAAACATTTCAACTTTGTTTTGGAAATATCACACAACTCTTGGTTAACAAAAGTATCTAAAGGCATTTCTTGATCCAAGGGGAGCATTTGCAGAGGTTTAAAGCAGTCTTCACAGTCTTTGTGCAGATAAGGGAGGTTCCTTTGCATTCCCGTGTTTCATTACCTTGGTGACTGATCAGATAAGAGAGGCTAAGAGTTCTAGACTGGTTTGAGTAAGTGGAATTTTATTGTCTCGGGTGAGTTTGGGTCCTCTAGCGACATGACCTGGGAGCTCCATCTGATAAGAGAGGTAGTGCAGGGTTCATCTCTGCATGTGGCTGCCCTCAATGCTTAGAGTCGAAGTCTAGGGGTAATTATTAATATTCCGAGTCCCTCCAAATAAAACATTACTTCCAAAATGTCTACGTTGGACTTGTGGACACTACAGAATGTAATGTATGTTATTTTCTGTGTTGACTGTAATAACATGCCTTAAGCAGCCATCAGATCGAGAGGACCAGCTCACTAACACTTTTACTTTTCAGGTATTCCAGCTGGCAACATTTTCCTGGAATTAGCACCTGTAACATTTGCTCTGTGGAGAATATATATGCTAACAACTTTAACCTTTTAGCAGGTTTCACCATCTGAATTGTGGAATGGCAAGGAGTTACAAGCACTTCATAGAGTTTTGCAGTTTTTGTCTGTTTTTACTGCATTGTATACTTTTCAGTGTTTAAGTACATTTTTACTGAATCTTAGATTTTTTGTGCCCAGTAGTTTTGCAAGTCCTAAATTGATGTTCTGACTTTATGAAAGACGTTTGGGAAGTTGTATCTACAGTATGTTTACTTTGTTCAATTTACTCAATCCATACATTCATACATTTGTATACTAATGCTGAGCTCTGCTTTACTAATGTTTAACTTAATTAAAACTACTAGGACACCTTATGTTTTTTGCATAACTTCAGTGACATTATTACACCAAGAGTTTTTTCTTTCTGTGGTGATGCCTTAGCTGTTGATTGGTCTTCTCTTGGTACCCTAAAAATATATATTTTTGTTTAAACTTATACACTTACACTATGGAATTACCGGTGTAAAATATGACTTAACAATTAGACACCTCTTATCTCATTATCGAGACAGTGATTCTTCTTATTTCCCAGCCATCTTTGGACATACAATAATTCTAATAGACTCCTACTTTTGTGGCATTGATGCAAACATGGGGCCATCATTAGCCTTCATAGCCCCACAGTGATCAAAACTCAGAATGTGCTATTGGAAAACAATCATCCAGAATCTGAATGAGATGTAAATTATTTTTCAGTATATGGAAATGTTTCTGAAAGGCCACATACTAGACCAGCCTTCAAAACCATTGTCATATCTTGGTTGTCACTCAGCTATACTCGTAGCACAATCCCTGGTTTGTTCTAATTGTTTAAGGCACAGCTCTGTCTGTTTACAGTAGAGATGATATCTCTTTATTTTACCAAAATTCATAATACTGTTTTGGCCTGAGGCTACATAGATGTGTTTCATTCAGTACTCACCTCTGCTGGTGATGAATTACTCACAATAAGTAAATGTAGTGGCCTTTAAGTAAAATCACTACCAACAGTTTTGCAAAATCACCACAAGATGCAGGGGGGAAGGTTTAAATAACTGCTATCTGACATGCTATCCTTAAGAGCAGGAAATTCAGCTGTACTTGATGAACAGATACTGCAAAGGAAACAAGTTGATTCTATTTATTAGAAATAAAATACAGTACTGTACAACCTCATACCACCTTAATAGGGCTGCAAAGTGGCAGCAGATGTTGTTTTCCTTCTAACCTACCTTTCTTACCCCCCTCCTCCTCCTCCTCTGGCTCACTTTATCCTGTGTAGGGGTACTTTAGTGATCCCTGGAATGTGTTTGATTTCCTCATCGTAATTGGCAGCATAATAGACGTCATTCTCAGTGAGATCAACGTAAGTACAATGCTCACCTCACTCTGCTTGTCTCTTCCTCTCTCTGCCTTCTAGCCTCTTCTATATCTTTTATTTTTCTTCCACTCTCCTGTCCTTTGTGACTATTCTGTGTTGTGCTGTCTTTTCATATCTCTCTCTCTCTGTTCTTCATCTGCCTCCTCTTGCTCTCCTTCCTCCTCTTCCTGTCCCTCCATTATTAAATCCAAGACTGCTGCTGCCACTCAGGGGACCCCCAACCATAAGGGTTCCTGAACAAGGACAAGCTTCTTCCTGGGTTTCATAGACAGTACAGGCAACAGAGGCAGGTTTAGCTTTGAACATAGATGGGTTCTGTCTTGGGTTCTTCTTTGTTGTTCCTTACAGTATCTAAAATGTTGTTGGGTTCTTGATATTTTTTCACTTTTTGTCAGACTGTGACATGTCCTCAGGTTTGATCTTCTAACTAACTGAACTGATTCACTGACCAATTACAAACAGCCTTATACACCTTTTCATTTTTTTTACTGCAGCAACGGGCCTTTTTGTGATTTTGTTCTTTACTGTTGTTGTTGTTGTTGTTGTTGTTGTTGTTGACATTTTTCTTACATGGACAAGCATGACCGATCGCCGCTGCTCTTCCTCTGCTGTTCATCTCTTTCAGACTGCCCCTTCTTTTCTTTTGGCCATTTAATTTTGTTGATTCTTTCCTTCTCTCCTCCTGTCAAAAACTACAATGCTCATGTATATAATGTTTTTATCTTATTTTTCTCCTCTCTCCTTCAATTTTAATTTTTTCCATTTTTTGAAACATTTTACGTTCTGTCCTTTTCTTCTGTTTTTCCACTCCTTCACAGCATTATTTTGTTGATGCATGGAACACATTTGATGCCTTGATAGTTGTGGGTAGCATTGTTGACATAGCAATCACTGAGGTTAACGTAAGTAATCCAACTCCCTCCCTTTGCCTGCATGCTCTTCCATTCCCACACACACAAACAGGCTGAGTGCCGATACCCATCTCGCATGCTTTCAAATGAGTAGGAAACTTCAGATGCACAACATTTGAACTTAAGAGATGGTTGAATAAGTCTGGCAGTGAAAATAGCCAGATGTAGTGCAATCAAAACAGATTGCAGTGCCCTATTTAGTGTGGTGTGGTATTTAAACCACATGAAACACTCATTTTTTGAGTTATGTTTCTTCCCCGAACATCTGATTACCGATGGACAAGGTCAGTTATTGTTATTCCATGATATTAAAATTGTAATAATTATAGCAAAGGAGGCTGTAAAACAAATTGTTTCTCAACTCATTCTCCTCTTCTCGCATCTGTACTTTGTCCCTCAGTTTATATTCAGCAGTGTAACGAGGCTGCAAACCAAACTATTTTTGTTTACCAATTTGTTTGAATTTTCTAATATTTGACCTGCCTCAGATAGGTATTCGTGGCTCAGTCTGCTGAGCATCAATAGCCTCAGAAACTATTGCATTGTCTCAGCACTTGGTTTGTTTCATCTTGTGTTTATTTATTCTTCCATCACTGTCACAGGGGATAGTGTCCATTCCCCTGGCATGATGGACACTGTATAGCATGACAAATATAAAGGTGGTATATTCAGGCCTGGTACTAAATATAATGTTGTAATAAAAGAATCAAATTCTGCAAAAGTACTATTTCTTTGAATAATGTTTCCTTGACCCAAGGGTCATGAGACTGTCAATTCATGAATCACCAGTAAAACTTTACATTCAAATGAGAAAAATACATCTTACAGTTGCCTTTTTTTTTGTCCGACAACAGCAATGTGCGGACATGGGGAATGATTTGATTCATAAATGGATTTACTCAGGACCCATGAAATTTATGTAAATGTATGTATGAATTCCTTTATTATCAATGTGGAAGCCCTATGGTCAACAGTGAGGCTGAATAAGAAGGAATATTCCCAGACACAAAGTCAAATGCTGAGTGTCTGTCATATGTACACTGCAGGGATAATTCGGTGTCCTGTTCACATGATAGAGTGCTCTTTAGCAGGAGAATAGTCCTAGAAACATGCAACTGTGAAGTGTGGCTGTGCAAAATTCTGTTTAGGCTCAGAAGAAAATCATTTGCTGCTATGATCAGATAGGCCAAAGAGCTGAATTTCACATGTACTGTAAAGGATATCTTTGTAGGAAAGAATATAATTTAAGTCCATTTGATGCCTCATCTTCCAGTTGCAAAGCTTTGCATCTCTAGAAGCAAACATCCAGTGAAAATGCCCCACGGGACAGAATGTAGTTTGAATGGCAACTCATTAAATGGAGGCAGTTCTTTAAGTGTACAACTTCACTCTGATATTCACTCTGTGTGTCAGCATTTAAATGCAGTACTTTAGTGTTAAATAAAATTTCTTATTTTGTAATTTAACATTGTTGCACCACAAATAAATCAAACATGATGGATCCTGTAAAGGAATATTTTGCCATTTTGGGAAATTTGTTTAATTGCTTCATTAAATATGAAGCTGTAACCAGGAGAGCTTATCTTAGCATAAAGACTGAAAGCAGGGAGAAACAGTAGAAACAGCTCTAGCTCATTTGTTTAATCTGTACAAAAATTGTGGTGTAAAAAAGACAAGTTGCTATTTTGCAGGAGGATTTTGTTGCCTAGGGTAGCTGTTTCCCCTGTTTCTAGTCTTTAAGATAGGCTAAACTATCCATCTGCTCAGTCCAGCTTCATATTTAACCAAGAAATAAGAGTATAGTGTCTCAGCAAGACAGAAAACAAGTGTATTTTTTACATGTCATATCAATTATAGATTATTTCTACTGAAAACTAGGTAATTACAGTACATGGGGATTCACCTGAAATGTATGATTGGCTGAAATTCGCTCACACTCTCAACTGCAAGCATGTTTCTGGTTTGAGGAGATGAAGCAAGTAAACGGGGTATATTCCCCTGTGGTGGAATACAGACAGCACTGGTCAGACATACAAATAAGGTTAGTGTATCCCAGAGGTGTGGAAGCTTGGGACTTGTTTCCATGCCTTTAGAAAACGGATCCTTTAGTCCCCATGAGAGGCTGACAATACTGTGCATAAACAACACTTTGAACTGTATTTGGATTTTTTATGATTTATTAAGTTTTTCTGTCTAGTTATTACAGGGATTTGATGTCACTGTTCCATAAAATGCCTATATCCTGTTGTTGCCTTGCAGACAATTTATCTCATCTTGACGCAAGGTATAATTATACTGTGTATATTATACTTAATTAAGTATAATATACATGTACATCACTATATACTGTACATAGATACTAAATAAACAAAGTTAGGGTGAAAAAAATCTATTTGAGATATAACATTTGTACCAGGAACTGAATATATAACCACTGATCGACCTTTATTCATTGGGCCAGCGATATATATCTTTGTCATCTATACAAGTCACTGATGTTGCACTTAACACTCAGGTTTGGAGTTTGTCTTTGATTTGGTTTGCTTCATTTGGTTGATTGGTTTGCAGTTTTTTCTGAATGGCACATTATTTTTCCTTCCCACCTCTAACCTAAAGGCATGCCCCAAGTCTTTGTTTTATCTTCTTTGCTGTTGGTTTTTGGGTGATGACATGCCCGAGCTATCTTTTCCTTTTTTCTTTTTTTTTAAGAAACCTTCCGCTCTTCAATTCTGGGAGAACTCCTGACTGTTTTTGAGCTGGGACTCTATCACTTAAACATTTAAAATTTTGACCTGCCACTGCATTTCATCAGGCACTAAAGCACAAGTGAATGCTTTTTAACATAGTGGGCAGTGCAATTAGAAATTAATAGTATCCGCTTGCCAACAATTACTTCTCTTCCATTGCATTTCTAAGTGCACAGTGAAGTGCAGTAAGAGGCCAGCTTTTAAAATGTTATCACTTTACCTTCAGTAAATATTAAATGGCCAAAGATCTTGTTTTAGTGCACCTACTGTACTTTACTGCACCCTTGGGTGCCTATTGACTTAGAGTAGCTGCTTTTTTTTTTTGGTCATGGAAACAGAATACTTCTGTAATCATGGTACTCTGATTCTCCCCAGCAACCTGTATGGGTTTTTTTTTTTTTTTTGGTTTTGGTTTGAGTTGAAGTAGTGTGAACAGATTGGTAGTGGTTTGCTCTGAGCGGTGTCTTGCAGATTATGCCAGTATGAACTGTATCGATTCCTCTTTTTCTTTCCCTGTCTTTGGAATGCCTCCTCTTTTCCTCCCCATCTCCTCTTCTTCTCCTTCTGAGCTTTTTCCGTTCACCTAACTCTTCTTTTATGGATGTTTATTTCTCTCTTTCTCTGTCTTGATGTTTTGTGATGCTTCTTGATCACCTGAAATGCAAGCTGGGTAACATGGGTCTCTCAGAGCTTTTATTGTTTTCTAAAAGGTCAACCCATCATCTACAGGATATTCTATCTGTTAGCTATATATTTAAACAAGGATTCGGATTCTCTGCTTTAATTGTATGCACATTAAATGAAAGGAAAAGTAATTTATATATTGTAGTATTACAACATACAATGTATGTTTTATAAATGGGAAACAAAACCTGAAGCCTAGAATAAAAGGTTCTCAAGAAACCCATATTACCTACTGAACTGAAAAAATGATGAGCAGTATGAAACAACAGCTCAAGTTCATTTTAAATAAGCTCATGTATCCAGTGAGCTGGAACTACAGTCATTCACATCTGCACTGTAGCTCAGCCTGACACGACTGCTGTGTTTTTATCTACAAACTGACTGTTAAGGTTTTCTACTGAAACCTTTAGGTTAAAATGACACTCTACACACAGATGTTCCAGGGCCACTGTAGTTTGTGTAATTTGATTTGTGTCAGTTCATAGTGCCAAATATTATGTGGAGGGCTCTGAGCTGAATCTTAATCTGGTTCATAGCTTTGATTTCACTCACTGAAATAGAGCCAAATCCAGATTTAAATTGTGCTTAAAGTGGCTCACCTGCCCTTTACACTACACTACAGACAAAAAATCACATTCTGCCATGTTTCAATTTTAACTTAGTCTGCCCTGAGTGTGCATCAGTGCTATCTTCCTTCCCTCCATCCTTCCCTCCTTTCCTCCTTACCATACACCTTTCCAAATCATCCTTACCTTGCCTTTATCCATTATTCTTTCCTTCCTTTTGTCCTTCCTTTCCACAGTTGTTCTTCTTTGTAGCTTTCCTTCCCTCCACACCATTAATTCATATTAAGTCTTCACATGAACATACACACACAGTTACTTAGTCACTCTAAAATCTTGAAATCACTATTTATGTCTTGGTTTATGAACACATAAAAATATGGTAGCATGTTACCCTGTGTTGATCATGTGTGATCATAGTGGTGTGTGTATGGCCCTGTTAGAATTCCTTCAAATGCCTCATTCCTTTCTTGCTCCTTTTTTCCCTGGTATATTCTTGCTCTCCTTTCTATTGCTTTTATCCTGGATTGTTCCCCTTTCTCTCTCTCTCTCTGTCTCTTTCTACTTTCTTTCTCCTCCTCTAACTAACTTAAGATAATCTCATCTCACCCTGTTCCCATGTCAGGTTCTTTTCAGGTTCTGGAAGGAATGATGCATTTATTTTGTGGTGAGGTATTTTAACAGGGCCAATACCAAAGCAGAGTGAACAGCTCCTGAGTCAATCCCAGCAGTCTAAAATGTTGCAATACAAGGGATGACCACTGGGGGTCTCCTTACTGCATGTTATTTTTGTGCTTCTCATCCATCCCATCCATCCATTTTCCTTCGCTTATCCGGGACCGGGTCGCGGGGGCAGCAGTCTAAGCAAAGATGCCCAGACTTCCCTCTCCCCAGACACTTCCTCCAGCTCCCTACAAAGACGGACCACCCCCCCGGTCTGCCAGTCCAGAGGCACCGTCTCCAACCACCATGTGACATTGCAGAGGCGTGTCAGCCAAAACAGCCCCACAACATCCAGAGACTTAAGGTACTCAGGGCGGATCTCATCCACCCCCTCAGTGGTGGTACCTCCATGACTTCAGCTTGGGTGATGGACGAATCGACCTCCTAGCACCCGGCCTCTGCTTCCTCATCGGAAGATGTGATGCTAGGGTTGAGGAGATCATCAAAGTATTCCTTCTACCATCTGACGATGTAACCAGTTGAGGTCAACAACTGCCGACCTCCACTGTAAACAGTTTTGGCAGGGCACTGCTTCCCCCTCCAGAGGCGCTGGACAGTTTGCCAGAATTTCTTTGAGGCCCACCGATACTCTCTCCATGGCCTCATCGAACTCCTCCCAGACCCAAGTTTTTGCCTCCACAACCACCCGGTCTGCAGACCATTTGGCCTGCCGGTACCCGTCAGCTGCCTCATGGGGCC